AAGATCTACACATTCTTCATGTCTAATTCTTCGAAAGTTCTTCGATTTTTTTGGGGGCCAAGATCCTTTCATTTCTAATTGCTGTATCCTGGGCCTCTTCCTGGCCACTAGGGGGCCATGAACAATTAGAAACGAGCACAATTAGAAATGAGCACGATTAGAAATGAACGACGTGTACCTCATGAGGCAGAGGTTGCAGGCCACAGCGGTATTGAGCGTTAGGGAAATGGTCGATATTCTGATTACCAGATGTCGGTCTTCGTCCGTCTCATGGGAGCAAAGTATCCAATGCTGGCGTTCGATATGGGCGTGTGGGGGCCTCGCGATGGCGGGAGGCAGCAAGCCGCTGCGTTGTCCGCCCACGTCCAGAGCGCAGCCGGCGAATGGATCACGCATGAGTCCAAGGGCCCGGCCAATTTCGAGCAGTGGACGGAGGCGTGGGAGTTCGCGGCCGCGGGGTTTCTGATGGGCAACGTCGTGGCGCGCGGGGTGGCAGAGGGCTGCATGGCCTTCTCACAAACGTGGTGAAGCATTACCTTGGCACCGATGCATGGGCCATTTGCGCCGAGGCGGAGTGGGCCTTCTTGTTCGAGTTCGCCACCTGACGACCCCACGAGGCAGTGAGACTTCCACGGTGAGGGTGAGGATGAGGAGGATGAGGATGAGGATGATGAGGAGGATCATGAAGCTGATGATGATGCTGCTGCTGCTGCTGATGATTATGATGATGCTGATGATGAGGATGATGATGAGGATGTGGATGATGATGCTGCTGATGATGACGAGGATGAGGATGATGATAGTGAGGATGAGGATGAGGATGAGGATCATAATCAGGATGATGTTACGATGATGGTGGTGATGATGATGCTGATGCTATGCTGATGATGATGTGGATGGGGATGAGGATGAGGATACTGATGGTCACGAGGATGAGGATCAGGATGAGGATGAGGATGATGGTGATGATGCTGCTCATGCTGATGAGCATGATGATGAGGATCTGGTTGATGCTGATGATGATGATGCTGGTGAGGATGATGAGGAGGATGAGGATGAGGCTGAGGATGAGGATCAGGATGAGGATGATGACGATGCTGCTGATGATGATGATGACGATGATGATGATGATGATGATGATGATGATGATGATGATGATGATGATGATGATGATGATGATGATGCTGATGATGGTGATGATGATGCTGATGATGCTGCTGCTGCTGATGATGATGACGATGATGATGATGATGCTTGTGGTGCTGATGACGATGATGATGCTGATGCTGCCGCTGCTGGTGATGAGGAGGAAGAGGAGGAGAACGAGGAGGACGAGGAGAAGCTCCTCCCCGAATGCCCAAGCCCGATTTCTGGCTAGAACCTTCTTCTGCTCTCCTTCTCTCCCTCTCTTTCGCCCTCGTCCTCCTGGAGGAGGCGGAGGCGGAGGAGGCGGAGGAGGAGGAGGAGGAGGAGAATGAGGAGAAGGAGGAGAAGGAGGAGGAGCCTCGCCTTGGCAACGCCTTCGAGCTGACACCCCTGGGCGGCCTCCGCAACATCGACATCCATGAGGGTCGCAGTGATGCCGAAATCGAAGAGCATGGGGTCGCACATGCACGGTTTCCCCTGGGGCCGTAGGCGACCCGAGGAGGAGGAGGAAGGAGGAGGAGGAGGAGGAGGAGGAGGAGGAGGAGGAGGAGGAAGAGAAGGAGGAGGAGGAGGGGAGGGTGAGACCGTGACGTCCGCCGCCCTCCAGGACCATCGAGTACGACCCGAGCGACCGCGCGTCGCTCCACAAGACGGTCTTCCGCATGCTGGGCCAGCTCAAGACGGTGCGGCACGGGCTGGAGGAGCGCTGTTGCCGCTCGTTCCCCGTGTCGGGAGGTTGAATTCAGCATCGGCCCTTTTTATCCCGCTTGCTTCGGCTCACCCCCCGGCTTCATGCGGTCTACTCTGGCTCACTGGCCCCATCATCGGGTTTAGTAGCCCCTGATCTTTTTTTTGGGGGCGAAGGCCTCCCAGGAATTGCTTTCTGATCCGAGTGGGCTTCTCGACGGCCCGCGTCGCCAGTTCTGGATCAAGATATCGGCTGAATCGGCCACGGTTGCCTCGGCGACTGCGGTTTCCGCGCTGCTTGCCTCGCCGCCCTGACCCGTCGCGATGACGGACCCGTGCGGGGCCAGCAAGTGGCGTCCGGAGATCTTTCTTCCTACTTATCCTCTTCGTCCTCCGTCTCCTCATCCTGCCTCCTCCATCTCCTTCCACTGCCGCATGTCCTCCTCCTTCTCCTCGTCCTCCCATCCTCCTCCTCCTCCTCCTCCTCCTCCTCCTCCTCCTCCTCCTCCTCCTCCTCCTCCTCCTCCTCCTCCGTCTCCTCCTCCTCGTCCTCCCTCCTCCTTCCTCCTCCTCCTCACTGCGAGAATGCGACTGTCGGAGGCTGGCGCTCTTGCTCAATGTTATGCTTTGCGCGCGCAGCTGACACCACGAACCCTGCGCAACGCTGCTCCTTTCGTTTGCACCCCTCCCCCAATTCCCTGCAGGGGCTCTCCCTTGGGCCCTCGTGTTCTCTTGGGCTCTTGGGGTCATGCTGGAGGTCATGGACCAAACACGTGGGCGCACTCAGTCAGGGCCCCCTCCCGGCACATCACCCCTCGGGGCCTTCTCGGGGGGCTCTTGAGGCACTTTTTGTTGTCCCACTGGGCCCCACGGGGACCCTCTGGGGGCTGTCTTGGGCCATCGTGGACCATCTTGCGGCCTCGGATGCCACTCGCAAGCGAAAAGGTGAAACGACTACATCATTGACGACGTTCTCGGCTCGTGATGCTTCTGCTTCTCGGAGAGGCATTCTTAGGAAACTCCGAGGCTATCTTGAGCAGTCTTGTGGCGTTCCTCGGGTCTGTTTCAGGTATGCTGGAGGCCATCCTGAACCGAGCTGGGCCATATTGCGCGATCTTGGGGACATCTTGGATGCCATCGACGGCCATCTTGGGTGCACTGATGAGTCGCGCACCTCCCGTCTGGACCCGCGGGGAGGAAGAAAAAGGAGAAGGAGGAGGAACAGAAGGAGGAGGAGGAAGACGGAGGAGGAGGAGGAGGAGGAGGAGGAGGAGGAGGAGGAGGAGGAGGAGGAGGAGGAGGAGGAGGAGGAGGAAGACGACGGAGAGAGGAGGCAGCAGGAGGAGGAGGAGGAGGAGGAGGAGGAGGAGGAGGAGAAGGACTCCACGATCTGGAGCAGCATCATCCGGCGACGGAGAGCGCCGATGGCCTGCGGAAGCGGGGCTCGTCGCCAACCCGCGCGACCCTCCGAGAGGGCCCCCGCCTTCCCTCCTCCTCGCCTTCCCGTGCCTCCTCCTCTTCCCTCCTCCTCGCCTTCGTCTTCACTTCCTCCTCGCCGTCCCGTGCCCGTCCTCCTCGCCTTCATCTCCATTTCCTCCTCGCCTTCCCTCCTCCGTCCTCCTCCTCTTCCCTCTTCCCTCCGTTTCTCAGCCTCGTCTTCCCTCCTCCTCGCCTTCCCGTGCCCGACCTCGCCGCGCCCGCTCCCGCCTGGCGCGCCTCCTCCACCTCCTCCTCCTCCTCCTCCTCCTGCTCCTCCTCATCCTCCGTCTTCCTCCTTCTCCTTCTCCTCCTCCTCCTCCTCCTCCTCCTCCTCCTCCTCCTCCTCTCGCCGATGCATCAGTGCATCGGCGCACTGGCCTCACGTTTCGTGCTCCAGATCCACGGGTCCGTAACTCATGTCACAGAGTGCCCCGCAGGGGGCAGAAGTGGGGAAGCCGACGGTAACGATACCGCTGCTGCCAGAGCCTCTCTTGGGGTGCGTTCTGGCCAGAACTTCGAGGCGGATCCAGCGGTGGCGACGAGGACCTCCTAGGAGACCCAGAGAGGGCGAAAGCGAGGCCAGGGTGGCCGTATCGATACCTTCGCCTCCTCTGGAGAAGGGGCTGCCCTGGAGGAGCCCGCGCCCTCGACCACCGCCACGTCCGGGGGGAGGCCCGTGGGCCTTGCGCTGCGCGCCTGTCGACTACACCTAAGAATAACGCTTCGCCAGAGTGCCCTTTCGTGGGGGCCCAATTGGGCCCCCCCGATCGCTGAACGCGATGCGGTAGTAGCGCCCTGCGCGCTCGTATTTGGTCCCCCCGCGGTCCCCCAAAAGGCCCTCGCACCAAAGGTCACTCTTGATGCCAGTGTCACTCTCGTGTGTTGTCGAGGCTCGCTCCGCAGCCATCTCGGCTCAGGCCAGCCCGGATTCTGGCTCCGGGGCGGCCTTCGCGGCGGCCCCCCCCCCCCCACACCTCCTGTCGGCGTCGCACAAAAACACAGTGGGGGCCCATGCCAAGGCGCACCCTGCTTGCCTCCAGGCGCCCTGGGTTTCTTGGGTTTCGACGCTTCTGCCGTGGAGAGCGCGACGCTCCCACGCCAGAGCTCCATATGGACGTCCTGGGGTCTCAGGGCTGGGTTTCTCGCGGGAGGTGTCCTGTGGACTGGCCTCTGCTGCAGTATACAGTCGGGGCCCTGAAGAAGGAACCCTTTTCGTTGGGGAGGGGCTCCGCGTTCCTTAAGTGTTTCACAGCTTGCCTCAGGCTTTCCTTATGTTTACGACAGGAAATCGAAGGTTAACTTATGGAAAAAGGGGCCTCGTTCCTTATTTAGGGTTCCTTAGGTCAACGCCCCGACTGTACGCTCGGCGGCGGGCGCTTTTCGGCCATGCCGCTCGGGAAGTGGTGCGCTGCAATCTTTTCGGGCGGGCGCCTCCCACACGGGCACGTCGCATCCGTATGTCCTTCAGCTCCCCAGCCCGCGGAGGGCGCATGGATCTGTTTCCCGTGCGTGGCCCGGACAGTCCCGACCCTTTCGTTCCCCAGGGCCGGGCCTAAGGCGTTTTTTTTGTTGCTTCCTTCCAGGGCCCCCTGAGGCCGCAGACGGCGAAAGACCTCCGCACTGCATTCTTCAAGGCGTTGTGGAGGTCTGGGCGCTCGCCCCGACCCTTTCGTTCCCCAGGGCGGGTC